GACGTACTTTATAGATTTTTATTAATACTGCAGGTTAGGTTTCAAACTTACCACTTATTTTCATTCCCATTCCTTGTTAAGGTCCGAGAATCCCTTTCCCTTCCCTTAAAAATTTCGTTAAATATTAGCAATAAATAATGCACTAAATCACGTGTTAATACATTAAATACGATTTTAATTCAACTCTAGTAATTACGGATTAATACTTTTATAAAGGTTTTATATATTTTAGAAATTTATTGAATGTCAAGCTAATGATTTTAGTTACTTGTATTACATTTAAGATTGAGATTTAAGGGAAATTTTAAGGGAATTTTGATATAAGGGATCCCTTACAAACAAAATGGGAATCTTGCCATATATGATTTTTGATTCCCTTTCCCTTCCCGTTCCATTAAGGGAAAGGTAAGGGAACGTGAAGTTTAAGGGAAAAGGAAACACAACTTTGATTGTACTACTTGTATGAACTTCATTGTAAAGTTATCTATTAAATTGATGTGACATATGACAAATATTTATAAAGAAAAATTTTCCGATAACAGTGGTCACTGCCGCCGAACCCGAGGTCACGACTAAATTAATTACATATTCTGACTCCTCGTTGAAAGTACTGCAGTATATTATACGATTCAATATACATGTGACCAGAATATGCCAATTTGGACAATGTTCTTTATTTATCATATGTTCACTATTGGTTCGTTATAAATAACGTCACCATACGAGTGCTTTTTATGAAAAACCTCACGTAATTTCATTATAAAGGTGTCACATATGATGACTGATCAATGCTAGGGTCATGGGTTACAACCTGTATTGAACTGTCATAGTATTAGTACCTTTATAATTATAATTGTAATTAATTGACTGTATTTTGTTCGGGAAAGCACTGGTATGCGAGTGACTGTCACTCGACTGCAGCCCAACTCTTCACTCGTCATACGTCTACACAATGTATGGTCTCATCCAATAGGAGACGACTATTTAAATTTGGAGCTAATATTGCTCTCATTCGATTGGACAGCCATTTGGTGGCCATTGAAATGTGTTGACCATTCGTGTGATGAGATTATTGTCAAAATGAAGGCATTTGCTGAAGACATTGACACCATTGAGGACAACACACACCACACACTCACTGCAGACACCAATGAGAGCAAAGAAATTATAGTGAAAAAAATGATAGCCTTTTGTGTCTCTTCATGCGTGGACCAGAGGTTGTCCTCCGTGTCCACGCAGTTGCAGACATTGACCGCTGAGTCCATCCATAGGACCAACACTTTACAAGACTATCATAAAACCAAAGCCATCTGTGAGTCGAAGGAAACTCAAGTGAATTGCAGTGCAAATGGTGTCCTCTCTTGTGATGATTACACTCTTAAGACTAAAACACAATTATATAGCAACGGATCAGCTGTGAAGACACAATCACCTCATGTGACCACTCATATCAACAAATGTGTGACAAATGGCTTGAATGGCAGCACAGCTACTAAATTAGTGACCAATACTAGTAGTAAACACATTGTACTCACCAATGGATTCAATGGTAGTGATAGTCACTCATCAGTCAACAAATGTGTGCCGAAGACCTGTAGTGCAGAGCATGTGGTCTGCAATGGGTCTCAAGTGACCAATGGATCACTCGAGAAGACTCCGTGCGCTGAGAAACGGTCGGCGCTTACCATGAAGAGCGTCATTGGCTCCAATGGTGACCACAAAGAGCCAGAAGTGGTGACCATTGGTGACAGCGATGACGACGAGCCCGACTCCAAGATTAGCAGACATTGACTGTAATGACAACTATTATTATAATTGATTGTAATTATTATAACTATTATTATTATATTTCATTGTATTTAATGACATGTTTTTTATCAAATGATTTAACATTAATGACATATTTTACCATTTTTTCAAATAAATACTCAATTCACTGTCAAATCATTATTACTGTTATTATATGTGATTATATTGTGAGAACATGGTCAAATGGGTCCCATGTGTGCCCTACGAGTCGGTGCCAATGATCCGGCTCATATTATCGCCCAACTTTCTATGTTTAACATGTGGTGCACAACTAGGGTGACCAACTCACTTTTATTATTCTACACAACCAACTAGGTACATTCATTTATAATTATTTAGTGTTTATTAATTATTATAATTAAGACATCATATTATATTGTTAACAATACTATATTTGAAAGTTTTATAATTTTGGACAAAATATTTTGGTTGTAATCAGGAATATATAATTTAAAAAATAGATTATCAAATGGATACCAAATATTTCTAATATTAATTTTGATTGTAATATTAAGACTATTGGTGCAAGCACATGGTATGTAATATATATTTTTAAAAGTACCATTCTTTAAAAGATCAAGATCAAGCCACTCAAGTAGAAACTANAGTACCATTCTTTAAAAGATCAAGATCAAGCCACTCAAGTAGAAACTACCCAGATTCATTCAGCAAATGCTTAATATTAGATTGCTTTTAATTATATTTAATACCTAACATTTAAAAAAATTAAAATAAATAATTTAAAAGTTAGATATACCACTGCCATACAATATACTGCACAATACCATTTACATTAGATCTAGATCTAATATTGCATATCAACATTTGGGCCAAAAAATCCATGTTTCTCCAAAATTTTATTTTGATCAAGTTAGACTCTAATTTAAATTGGTATTTAAAAAATAAATGAAAATATAAATTTATAACAAAAATAAGTCAAATTAAATTCTTGTTAAAATTAAACACAAATATTATGACCACATTTGGATCTAGTTCCGATGACCTAATAGTCAATTGACCTAATTAAAAATTTCACTTTAATTCAAAATATAATAAATATAATTATGCCAATAAATCAAAAAGTACGCCACCACAATTATTTAAATCTACGCAAAATATAATTACTTTAAATAACAAACATAATCAAATAAATAACAGATAATTGGCGCCTCCAGTTGAGTGGACTGTTTTGGAATTTTTATAAAATGAGAAAATGACCGCAATATTCGACAAATATTTTGCCACAATAATTCTGGAATCAATTAAAATTTTATCATTATAATTATACGTGCATATTCGAGGTCCATTAAAGTAAAAATTTAAAAATATAAGCAAAAAATTTATTAAGTTGTGGGGGTGCAAAATTGTACGTATGAATGGGAGGGGAGTTCACTTTTGCGTACGATATGCAACAAAAGGGTCAATTTTGGGTCAAAATTTTGCGTACGTTCCTATTGAATTTGCCTTTATCAGTTTAACATTGCTCACATTTACAAGTAAAGTGGTACAGTACTACAGTATTTGTTAAAATATTTGCAATGTTGGTGAAATAATTGATTAAATGTTTGATCACTTTGAATACAGAATTTTGAATGTTTAGATTTGTGTGTTTTGCCTCAATTCGGGGCAGATTTGAGATGATTTAAGGGTTAAAAAATAATTACTATTTCACAAAACTCCCCCAAAACAAGCTTTTCTCTCCCGAATGGTAAGCATTAAATGAATTGGTGAACAATTTTTACAACTCATTTGAGTAGTAATACTGTAATACTGTACAACATTTCAATATTCTCTATAAGAATACAAAAAAGTGACATACAGTATACACTTGGTCAATTTAGTGATACAACCTGCAATGTTTTTTGCAGTATATACAACCTCACTCACTAATTGAATGTATGAACATTTTGTGTGCTATAGTCTACTACTATATTCTACAGACTGTTAGACTGACTGCAGTCATGTGAGTGTTATGTAATTCATAGTTGTTATGAAAACATGTGATGTAATGGTTGTGTACTATAGGCAACACAACACTTATGATAATACTGGTATAGCTATGGTTAGTTTGGGAGACATTCAGTGATTGGATCCGCTTATGGATTTGCCTAACATTAAGGGATTGCTATGAATGGACACCATCGGCACCACTGATGACAACGACATGGATGCCGATGACAATGAGGAAGACCTGGACGAAGAACTGAACGCTATATTGAGTGGACAGACATATACACCTCGGAATAAACCACAGAAACAGATGACCAGTTGACCGGTGGTCAACACTAGAGTGGAAACAGGAATCCCATTCCTTTAGGAATTGCCACTGGGATTGGGGGGCATTGGGAATGGGATTCCTGTCCAACGGGTATTACATTGTTATTACATTTACTCAATGAATGAATGAAGTATTATTGTTTGCACCATTCAGTGGATTCTTAAGGAGTGATACACTGATAGGACGGCTCTCTGAAAGTTAACTCATTTTGAAACCAAGGGTACAATTGACGAGAGTTTTGCGTCTCTCTCTAAGTTGACTGAAGGCAGGAAAGCATTGTGCGGTCGGGTAGAGGCTAAGGTCCGCACCAGAGAACCACTGCTCACAAAACAAGCCCAAGAAGTGAAGGAGAAATGGCTTGTATTCAACTGATTAGTGATTATTTATTTATGTTTTATATACGGTATTAAACAAAATTTGTAAAATTGACAAAAAATTAAATTGAAGTTTAAATCATTTCGAGTTATAGATCATTGGGATTGGGATTCCGGTTCTGAATCGTCCAGTGCCTCCGTTTCCGCCAATTTAACTTTTACTGTCGATTCCTTGGATTTGTTTTGTTCCACTTGTGGGCAAATTTCCTATAAAACAAGTCATTTATTAGTACACTATAACACTACTGTATTATATGGTAATAAGTGATTGTGTGTCTCACGTCTTGGGTATCGTCGGCGTCAGCTATGAATAGAGTAGTGTTGAGATTGTGTACAATTGAATCGATTTGTGAATTGCTTTTATTTGTATCGTTATATGGAATGAAATAATCGCACAAATCGTCTTCAGGCCGAATGAGTATATTATTAGTACTACTAATGGTTGCCACAGACAACAGAAGACGGAGACGTAGGTACCGAACAACAAGCAGCTCAGGCAGGGAATTCGAGTAGTAGCCCATTCTCCGCCTTCTCTACGGTTATCTCTGCCCTGAGCTTAGAGGGCCTCTCAGGAAGTTGTCTCTCCGTGACGTGATTTGGTTGACTCGAAATGATTGCATTTCCGTCTCCTCTTCGTTCAGTTTGTGGTGTCTGTCCTCCCTTTCCTCTCTGTCTATCATATAATCGCATTCGTCTTCGCACTTGTCGTGAGCCAAGAGTCGTATTCTTTCCTGAAGTGCGATATTCTCTGTCGTTCCGGTCGATGACGCAGAAGAGGAAGCGCTTCCGCTATCGTCGGCCACGGGTTTCATTGGCTTCGAGTTCTTGACTAAAGAGCGGCGCCACAGCTCTCGCTCTTTGGACTCATTATTGATATCAATGTTTAATTCGTTGTCTGCATTGTCTTTGGTCGGAGAGACGGGTATTCCCGAGACAACCACTTCCGGAGTGGAGGGACTATCCGATGCGTTCAGACGGGAGCGCACTATAGGCGCTCTCGTGATAACAGTGACAGAATCTGACAGCACTTCCGGTCCAACATTAGTGTTATTTATTTGATTTATTTTTTTGGATTTTTGATCGTTTTTGTGGTATTTCCTGACATTAATCGGAGTTTCGGTTTCATTAGAATTCGTTCGAAAGGGAGACAAACCATTGGAGTGAGGGTTCGGACCATTGAGTGCCTCTATCAGGGAAATGGGTTCATAACCGGGAGGTATGTCTACCAAATCGGTAGAACTGTTTGAGGACATCAATTGGTGGTGATTGACGACAGGACTGGCATTAGCACCGATGCCTGTGTTGGTCACAAATGTCTTTCGCACGGCTTTGAGTTGCAGTAACGCCCGGAAAGGGGCCCTACATATGGGACAGTTGTTTGCCTGATATCGCAATGAATCGGCGCAACCGTTGCACTGATTTGAACACAAAACAGATAGCATTTAGTGTTTCATGTGTTTCATAGATTTCATTTGAAAAGTATGGATACATACGAGACACAGATGACGACACGGAAGAATGAGAGTATCTCTCGGATCACTCATACAGATGACACATTCGCTGGAGTTGTCCTCCAAGTCGTTGTCTGTGGGGCCGGACATAGAGGCGTCACCTTTAGTGGTCAACGCGTTCTTGTTTTCGATGCCATAGATCTCTTGCAATAAATACGTCAATCCGTCGACAAACAGCTTTTGCTTCAATGGTTTCATTGAATGAGTATTTTCGTGGTTACGCTCCACGACAGCGATCAGAGAGTGTGACTGTCGGGGGTCTTCGCCCTCCTCTGCCACGCAATGGATGACAACCGGCAGAAGAGCACTGCTATCGAAGTCTCCCTTTTCGTCGACCGACCGATACATGAGCTCTTCGTCTGAGAAAAGCGATGGATTGAAGACATGCGACGATTGGCTGAACAGTTGGTTCGGACCTCTCTTGAAGTGATAGGTCTGTGAACTGAGGTTCGGTTCCCTCGACGTGTATATGAGACCATTGGGTGTCATCTGTTCGGAGCACAAGTAGTGGACAGTTATGGCACACTTCACGTCCGCGTCGAACGCAAACTCCACGCTATAGACAATCGGCTCTTTGGGCGACTCACTCGTGAGGGTCGGCTCACCACTGGTCGCGTCCACCACTTCCTCGCCAGTGGGCACACCAGTGGACACGCCATCGGAGCCACTGTTGGCCACAATGCGGACCAATCGGAGTGACTCTTTGCGAATGTTGATGAGTGCCCTCAGAGTACGGGTGGGCTCTTGAGGTAATGGCGCGGAGTAGGGGAATGGCGTGGGATGACTGCCCAAGAAGTTGAGGTCCATGTTCTCGCCGAAGAGGTAGGCCTCGGGAGCGCACGTCTCGAACCTCTCGCCACCCATAATGAAGTGAGTGCTGAAGTATTGGCCACTTTTGGGGGGATAGCAGTAGGCGTTCCAACCCAACGCCTCCACCTCCTCCACCCCTCCATTCCCTCGACCCGACCACACGTTTCCCATACCACTCGACAGT